GATTTCTGACAAAATCAGATTTACACACGACTGTTTCCACTCAGACTTTATTACAGCTACACCATTGTTTGGTTTCCATGGTAGCGCGTCTCTTTAGTAGCGTGCGCAACTAGATAGTCACAGAACAAGGATCGACAACTCGACCCTCTGCTCACTCCTTTCCTGGTCCAGCCCACACATATGCTCCATCAAGAGGATGGTGCTACTGTACAGGCCACAAGGCATTGCAGCACTCGGAACTACAATAAGCCTGTTAATGTTAATCTAAAAGCTCCAGCGATCCACTAGCACCTGCAGCTGCAGCTCACAGAATCAGCCCCTGCAAAAAAAGGGCTGGAAAGAGCAAATAGAGCGAAATGAGGCATGGCTAAAATGCAGGATCTGTTTGGTATTTTGAAAAAAAAACTATATTTATATACTTTATATAGGTATGGTCCTACAATATATTGTTCAAATATAGCATGATATGTCCCCTTTAACTTAGATCCCAGCAGCTCCTATTGGATCAATAAAAGGCTTTAAAAACTGGATTCCACCCTTTTAACTGGGCGGACATAATCAATCAAACTATAATATGGCAATCATCTGGCTGAGAGTTAAATCATTGTTTTTTTTTGTTATGTTAAACATATTTTTCTTTTGCACTGACTGAATATTGTTATTGACTCGCATAGTTACGAGTCAATAAGTTAGAGTAAAAGTACATTTGATACACTAGTTGCTTTCAGTCTTGGCAATCCCCCTGGCTTAATGTGACAACACAATGAATCAGTGTGTCTAAATGAGGCTCAGACTGCGAGTTGATCAGCGATCTGTCTCTTTGTTCGACCCTCTTGTTCACTTTGCGCTGCGCAGTTCAAACCCTAATGGCTCTTGTGTTTATCTCTCAAGGTTTATGACACTGATAACCTCGTGCTTGCCCTTGCGTACAAAGTGTGTTAATCACAACCCCCACCAACACACACACGCAAATTAAAGCCTTGATACCCAAGCGCACACACACATGCAGCCAGATATACATGTACACACAATCAACATCTCTGTCCATAACATTTCACCACACTTAACTTGTAATTGTAGATCATGGAGAAGTATGAGGCAGAATGGTGTCTATTAGCTTGTTTTGACTGAAATATATATTTTACATAACTCATTGAAATTGAGTTCAAATTGCCACATTCTGTGAAGAGACAGTGTCGTTCTTTGAGAGCTCTCCTCAGAATTAAGTCTTTCAGTAAAGTTGTAAGAATGGGCTCTTTTGTAAACAAGAATAGGGGCTGTGAATGGATACAGGCTGTGAATGGTTAAATAGGGACGCAGGCAGTGTTTGAATGGGCTGGTCAGAATGGAGGCTTTGTACTTGTGGTCCACATCTCCTGAGATAAGGCAGACGAGGAACGAGAGTTTTGTTGGCCTAGGTAAATGAGCGCTGGGCAGAGGACTGCAGTTTTACCACTGTGACACAACATGACAGAACCAAGCATGCTTTACTTCTTCCTGCTTCTCTCTTATTGTCAAAGCTGGATCCCTTGTTTTTAGGTCAGACTAAGTCATTCATTCGCAGGTTGGAGACATTGCTATTCAAACGGGAGGGGTCAGGTAATTGTCTTTTTTTAGGGGAGGGGAAAGGGTCGCTGGGTGAACAAGGAAGGTGGGGTTGAGTGCTACACTGTCGCTTTTGTCTACAGGGAAGGTAACCTGAGGTTGCAGTAGGAAGTCCACACGGTTACTGAGTGACGTCCTGCAGCCTGTAGAGCGGGAGGACAGATCTGCAGTCTGGTGACAGGTGGAGTCAGAATGAGAGGGACGTAGTGACATCTTTTTTTGCAAAGCTGCATGGAAGTGTCGCAGAAGAGTGAGCAAGACGTAGACTTGGACATCAGGATGGGGGGAGAGAAGAGAGAAGATTCAGGCTTCTTGATGGAAGAGGATGTCGAGGAAGACTCTGGGATTGGCTTTAAAGTAGATGGGAGTTTTGCTGTAAGTGCAGGCTCAGCAGAACACTCTGAAACAGAGGAGACGGACTGGAGTGGAACTACAGGACACAGAGGTGTTGTGTTAAAAAACTTTGATCAAAAAGGAGGAGATGGAGGAAGTCAAACTTCAGAGGAAGGTGAGACAGAGGCTGATTCAGGGTCAACGGAGAATGAAGAGACTGAAGCAGAGAAAAGAGATGAGATTGATGATCAGAATGAAGACATGAAGGAAGAAGAGATGGAGGGGTCGTTGGATGTGTGTCTGTGGCCGGTAGAGGAGGGTGGGGGTCATGTACGCATCTCTCTGGAGGAGGTGGAAAGATACTACAGATTTTCTCGCTGCTGCCACTGGCTGTGTGGTAGGTGTCAAATTATTTATCCTTTTCTCTTATCTTTTCTGTCGATGTGGCACACTGCTATTGACGCAGTCTTTAGTTTCACTATGTGTTTGCAGTCTATCCCTGTTTTATATTGAAACCACAATTTGGTTCTGTTATCTTTACCGACATTGTCTACCTGCGCTCTACTGTTTGTTTTCACCTGCCCGTGTTCTCAGCAAGAGTAAGGATTGGGAAAACATAGTAGTTGCTTTCTTTGTCATCATTGAAATTGTCCCCCTATTTTACTGTGCAGTTTCACGTGA